GTAGTAAGCTAAACTTAGGTTGAATATGAGTTAGATTGGGCCCTTACTATGCTAATTTGTGGAACTACTCAACCCAAGTGATGGTACCACCTAGGATAGTGGACGATATAGCTGTTGTTTCTATGGTATCACTTGGAACATTGGTGGTGTGTAAGTACTTTTTATTTTGATTATTTTTCCTAATTTACTCCATATTTTTTGGATGCTTTGGGGCTATTAATACATGATTGAGATGTATCTATTTTGAATTTTTATAGTATTAAAAATCTCTCTCAAAGCTTTACTTCCTTTTATTCTTAAGTTTCTAGTTAATTTACTAAATTTAAAAGGTACAAGATTTTTGTAAAATCTTAAGAGTGTCAAGTGAAAGGTTCTTTCCTAAGTTTTGGAAAGGAGAAAGTATAAAAGGTTATTGATTTTATCCAAAAATCGATAGTGAAAATCAATGGTCTCAAGAGAAAAAGAATCAAAAGTGGATATAGATTATGATGACTAAACCACTATAAATTAGTTTATCTTTTTATCTTTACTTTTGTTATCATTTGTGCTTATTTCTTATTTGAATTAGTTTTCAATACTTGCTTTCTCTATCAAAATTTTAAATTTTTTAAAATTTACATAAGTACTAATTCACCCCCTCTTTTTGATCCTAACACATTTATTATATTTAATATAATTTAAGTGCAATTAGAGGTATTATTATCATTTTTCATATAATTAATCCTAATTAGGGATCTTCTTATGGTATTCAATATGATGATTAAAGTATAATTAGAACTAATTAATGAATTTTGTCACTTGTAGGTCCATTTAAGGTCCTTTCCTAAGTGATTATGTATAATCACATCGTATTAAATTAATAATTTTTTATAGAAAAATAACCCAAGATAATAATCAAGTGATCAGACTTGATATCATGTCCATTATTTGGAGAACTATCATAATTGAGAATGTATCCATTATGTTAACATTTGTCGGTGTGGTGGAATAACTCATGTAAAGTAATATTAGTTGGTGGGTATATCAAGTGATCAGACTTGATATCATGTCCATTATTTGGAGAACTATCATAATTGAGAATGTATCCATTATGTTAACATTTGTCGGTGTGGTGGAATAACTCATGTAAAGTAATATTAGTTGGTGGGTATATCGTCGTTGCAAAATGCACTATGGTTATGCTAGAAATTAGAAGATATTTCCAAGAAATCTTACAAGCAAAGGTTGATGTAGCTAGAAGCCAGTCGAACAATAAGAATAGTATAGGTGTACTATGTAAGAACAATATGAGGGTCACAATAATAATGTCAAGTTTCATTGGAGCATCAACATATGTATATGTATGAGGAGACCATGAGATATCAACCAAGCAAAGAGCTTGATAGTGATAAGGGCATTTGGCCACTTGCCCCATCTCCTCGATTAAATATGATTGGTAGTACATGATATATTGGCTTACGAGGTATTATAGGAGGCCTTGACAAGAGGTCAATACTTGTATTAGAAAATATTAATCTAGAAGCTTATCCATCATAATAGTAAAACAAACAAAGATTGATAATACATATACAAAGAAAAAAAAAGGATACTTGCAAAGCCATTGCTAAGTGTTCTAACTTTCATAGGATTGCAACGCATATAACTCAAGGTCTATACTATTAGAGCATGGTGTTATCATTTTAGGAAACTAGTACAAGCATCTAATCTTTTATGTTGAATATGTTGAAGGAGATAAATAATGTATATCTAGATGAGGAGGTTGTATAACCCAAAAGGACTTGATTAAACCTATATAAAGTAAGATTGATGTATGGTAGTCGGACAAGATTAACCAGAATGAGCATCATTAACTTTTTAGTTTATTATAAGAGATAGTGGTCTTTCATATGTGTATTAATGTATCGGACAAAATTCAAGATGTAAACTTCATAAAAAACCTAATGCACACTATGGTATAGATGATTGGCCCATAGTATATTATGTAGATTATTATCGATAATAAGATAAATTTTTAAAAAGGTTAGATTGTAGTTGATGGAGTGCAAAAGAAGTTTTTTAGACTTCATGTGCAACAAATTACATAGACCTAATAATAAAAGATATTAGTGAGTTACAATAAATTAGAATAATAGTGGTAAAACACAATCGATAATGAAGTTTATCTATATCCATCATTAGGTGTGCTACTTGATGCATTATATCACCAAAGATTTAGATGATAGAGCACGAGGATCGATACGTAACATTTATAATCATAAGGACAGAGAAAACATAAAGATAGTCAATGATTTTGAATAGATGTCATGAAGCATATACAATATAAATTTAGATAGAAAGTCATCATATTCGCAACCTTTAGATGCCCAATAATAGTTGGTCTTTTTTTTTAGATTGATCATTCTTATGATATAGAGCAGCAGGTTAATGACAACAGTAGAAATTCTAATGCACTCCAACCTCCTCCATACATTTGCATGCGGTAATCATGCTTGTCTCAAGAGAACACCTATCATTAATGACGATCAAACGATAATTGTTATCATGTTGATACATTAATGTCATATAGTTTATAAGATCATTATGTCAATCGGTAGTGGACTCCCGATGGTGATATAAATAAGTATATATAAGTCGTTTCTATTTATTACTTAATTTGTTGAGATCATAAGCTTTCCACACATAATCTAATATCTCAACTTGTATTTTTAGGTGATTTGAGATCAGTGTCCCTATATAGGGATCTCAAGTGCTAATATGCTGGGACTTGATTGTTTACAAAATCTATCCATTTCTTGGAATCGGACAGTACAAGCACATTCCTCCAGGCTTCAGCCTTCATATTCTTCATTGCTAGAAGGATGGGCTTCCGGCACACACGGGCTTCTCCACTTCGCAAGCTATGCTCCCTGCTACTACAAAGTGTCCTCATTCATCCTTGATGACATAGCCAATCCCTATAAAATAAATACCACCATCAAATGAGCCATCGTATTCAACACTAAATAATAATCCTCTATTAGTACCAGACTTTTCTCAAGCTTTTGCTTAAGTGACCTCTTAGGCTTCCAAAGAACCCTAAACAGTCATCACTGGTGGTAGTTACCTTCCTAAATAGGGTCTCCACATTCATCTGGTCTAGTGGTTGCAAAAGTGATCATCATTCTTGTTTATCTAAAGTTGTCATAAGGTATTTACAATACGTGCTAAGGACACTTCCGCACTAATGTTATTAGTCCTCTGTTTTCCTCCAGCAATTTGGAAACACTCGACCAATTTTCCCCAAAGCAGGTTTGCTACTACTCTATACTAAAACATGATGTGTCTGGAAGACTCATAACACTAGCACACTGGACACAACATTTGTGAATGGATGTGATATTAGCAATGTACTCAGAGGTTACATTGAAAAGACAATGATGATAAAGACTGAATTAAAGATTAGTCAATATGCATGTTTTCTGGAGAGACTTAATGTATCGGCTTAAACCGCAATCTTCTTCTAATTTACTTGTTGGAGACGAGGGGGGCAAGCTTAGGTAAAATGTTTGTTTATTCTTGTGCTAGATTGAGCAGTATTTGATCAAAATTGGATTGCCAAATTGAACCTACATTGTTTGTCTTTTTGGTTGATTCCGTTTAATGACTAATTCATTTGGTAATATTCTACTTCTCAAACAGGTTTGGTTTTTGGTTTTACTATTCTATACTGAGAACTGTTGAATTTAATAAACAAAGAGTGTTAATTAAAAATAAATAAATATAGATATTGATTTAAACATACACTTGATGGCTATACTAAACACTAGTATTTTGGTTCCAAATTAACGTTTGATGGAACTTTGATGATTGCTGCGTTGAGATCCGTAATCTCTCATCATTTTTTATGTAACAAAATCATCTCTCAAACAAATAAGTTGGCAACCATTGATCACTGTTGTTGTCGATATTTACCGTGATAAACAAAATCATTGATGCGTCAACAAATCATTTGAGGTGAGTATGATTTCATATCTGTTAACTAGTTCCAAAAAATATTAGTGTGCTTGATTGTTCAATTATATCATTAAACACTCATTAGGATGGATCGTATCAACATCATAGGCTTTGATTAATGAGATCCATTACATCAAATATCTCTACATAAGAGAGAAGATTTCTTTACATTCAAGCAACACAAATGCCATAAATTAAACACTCAACAGGATGGACCATATCAACATCATGGGCTTTAATTAATGAGATCCATTACATCAAATATCTCTACATAAGAGAGAAGACTTCTTAAATTTCAAGCAACACAAATGCCACAAATTATTGTTAAAAATCACAATTTCCACAGTTTACCTACCGCCGCTCTCTTCAAGTAATCAAATTGGAACACAATTTCTAACCTTACTTTCGACCTTCGGGTATACAATATACAGTTGGTCAACCAAATTTAAGCTTAACACTTCTGGTAAAGTAGATGTGACTCACCTCAGCGTGATATACTTATGACGTCTTTCTAAATCACGAAATAGTGGTAATGAGCCAATTTTCTTTTAATAATATATTTATGAATAAAAAATTTCCCTACCCTATTTTCCGAACGCACACAAAATCTGAGAAAAGTGGCCTCGTCATGTGCATACAAAATTCTTTTTCCATTTCACTTAGGCATACAAAATTTGATTGAGAAAGCTATATATATATATATATATATATATATATATATATATATATATATATATATATATATATATATACATATATATATA